TCGAATGCAGAAAATAGGGTTTGCAATTAATCTGGAGATGGGAGGTTAGGGTAGAGGCGAAGGATAATAGCAGTACAAGTTCTAGCAGCACATTCCTGAGTAACCTTACAAACGACTGACTCTTCCAAGTCCCAAACATCAAGAACAAGGACAAGCAGTTCATGAAAAGTTCAAGCAAAGGACTCTTGTACAGCTGAAACAAAAACGAAAGACATAAAGCAACAATTATTCTTACTCATATCCTCTCGACCACTAACGTTCCTTCCCCGGCCAGGCAAATGAGGTCCAACACTACCATTCCAAGCTTGTTCAAAACTAGGAAGTTCATCTAGAAACACACATGGGGGAAATTAGGCTATAGTGCACATTATGCTGGGATAAAAATTAAGAAGTTAGAGTTAGGAACTCAACTTGCTCAATATTGTGCAGGATATGTTCTGAATCCACATTCCCGTCAGAGTTAAGCTTACGTGCTAGGGTATTAACTTGTGGGAAGTGATAAAAACAACATCAATCAAATCCAAATACACCGTAGATGCAGAAACTGGTAACAACCACAAATAATTAAGGTACCTTGTTGTGTAGCCCCCTGGAAATCCTATGAGATGCTTTGCCTGTAGAACTATAAGCTTAAGCTTCTTTGCATTCTTCAAATGTTACATATTTTAGTGTCAAAGTTCTAATAACATACAAGACAAGAAGACAAAAACAACAGCTTGCAATAACCTTACATAGTTAGAGACCTCACCCCATCACTTCCTGTTCTCCTTGTCTTGGATGAAGTGTCGTAAGTTCCACCGTCACCACCATATGAGATGCTTGAACTTTAAAACACTAATATCTGACTTTGAGGCTGAGATTGAACCCTACTGAAACTGTTGTGCCTGTTTCCAGCCATCAACTGCTTGCGCTGCCACCCTGTTGCATACAAAATTTCTTAGCTAAGCAATGGTTCATATGTAGCTTTCTACATAATCGCGGAAGTGAACTTCACATCAATTGAAGAAATGACCATAACAGGGAGAGGAGACGATACATTTCAGAAGCAAAGGAATTGAATATCTAGCGATGGAACCAAAACCCTAATCAGAATGGTGAATGGTTGACCATAGCAGTTTGACCCCCAAAAGAGTAACCAGAAATCCAAACAAAAAACATGCTAAATGATCACCAAATGAAGAGACGAGGTGGCAAGCGCAGCAATGATGGATAATGGACGAAGTGGAGAATCCTGGGAGGAGGGATGACTTAGAAGCACGGATGACGGTCAGGAATGGCTTGAGTTTTAGAGGGAGACAGTTGATCTGCCTCGACCTAAAAAAGGGGAAATGATGGCCGGAGAACAAAGGATGCATGGGTAATCTAAATCACCCTGAAGCAGGAACAACGACGTAGCCTAAGATCGGATGACCCTAGATGTAAGTCTCGTAGTTTGAAAATGAGACGGATGTGGATTCGCGGTGGAGGACTTGTGGAGGGGTTTTCGGAGCGCAGAAGAATAGATTTTCTGGTTTGCTTGGTAATGAGAGAAGAGAAAGACAAAGGAAGAGGGAAGTCAATCTATTTGGTAAACTTAAAAAAGCACATAGTTAAAAGAAAATAAATATAAGCCAAAGAATAAAAGAGGGACACTTAGAATTTTTCAGGGAGCCAAAATTTGACAGAGACCGCCAAATGGAACTCTTTTTGGCTTTTTCGTTCTCGCCCACAATAATTTCCTTCCCGCCTATCAACTGTAACGGGATACTCTCTGATTGATGGTTTAATCACCAAACGTCATGGTAATATCTATCCATGATAAATGGTTTATTTTTTGTCACGGGTTCATACCGGTAACAAAAAATTCCCGTGAGTGAAGATGTATTTTCTTGTAACTAGCTTGGGCCCGGCCCATTGGCCGGAAATTTCATATTCACAAAAACATTTTCGATCTAAATTAAATGCACTGTATTAAAATTTAGAAAATTTATAAAGGGGAGGGAAAGGGGAGGGGAGGTAAAATGGGAAAAGAAAGCACATCTTCCAATGAACTTTCCCCTGTTTTTCTAGAGAAGAAACAGTTGAGAGGAGAGGAAAATGAAAAGAAACTTTACTGTACAGGCCTACCCTCCAATTTGGAAAGAAAAGAGCCGGCTGCTTCTCATATCTTTCGCCCCATTTATTTACTTTTTTTTTTATTTCTTTTTTCTTTTGGCAAGTTTCAATAACTTACGTTCGCTTACCTATATAATCTACTTCTCTTTTTAGTAAGTGTTTTAATTAGTTTCAAAAATAAATAACTGTAGATGCTTATCCCCTAGCTTTTAAGTTGGAATGGCACTCCGTTTGGAGCACTTCTACTATGCTATAAAGTATTGGTGCTTTAATGTACAACTTAAAGTTGTATCATAACGTTAAATGTATAAGTTCAGGTTGTACCATAAAGGAATTTGTGCTCTTATGTTATGGTAGAACTTTATAATTTAAACTTGTACCATCAAATGAAAATACAAGTTTAAGTTGTACCATAAAACAATTTGACAAAAGAGTATAGGTACAATCTGAAGTTGTACCATAACGTTAAAGGTACAACTTCAAGTTATACCATAAAAGAAAAAACCTATAGCACCAATACTATATAGTATTGTAAAATTCCTCCTCCGTTTGTCTTGCGTGGGTTGATGGAAACGATATTTTTTCCATCTATTTTAATTTTTGTATAATAGAAATCATATTTTATTATTAAATATAAGATAATTACAGAGAGTAATTATGGGACAAAGATTATCTTGAAAATTCAATTTAGGTGATTACAGTGAGAAATCATATTTTATACCCATTTATACTCATACATATGATATTGTTTACGCGATATGTAATACTGTTACGTGACACGTAAAAGTCTGTTACACAAGGTTGTCAACCCAGTTTAGCTCGTCAGCCCGATCGAGAAAGTGGGTTGAGGATTCCGACCATTTTAGCCCAAATATATGAAAAAAGTCGTTATATTGTTCTTACATTTATAAAGTATATCAAATCTCATCTAACATATGAGTAATATCATATAACATTACACTAAAATAACATGTTGTCTTCTACAACAAAGGTAATCCAATTTTGATGCAAATCTTTTTAAATAAAATTAAAATGAATTAGATTTTAAAATCAAGTAAATTTTTGTAATAATGAACCAAATTAGCACAAAAAAAAAGATCCACCGATAATAAGTTAGAAAATAATATCACCACATAATTAAATTATTTTACTATTACATAATCAATAAAATAACATATTTATCACACTTCCTAATACAAATCTTCTCTCCTACTTTTCCTTTCACTTTTCTAAATAAAATAACATTTTCCCTCTCTTTCAATTTTCCTTTCCCTCCATTTTTCTCGCCTCCAAACTTTCCTTTCTCTCCATTTTCTTCCCTCCTTTCGAAAACAGAGTGTTAGTATTACGTACATGATTGTAATGGAGATAAATATTGACCAAGATGGTATAAATGATTTTCTTTCGAGAACTTTCAAATGGGGTGATAAATGGTAAAAATTTGATATGTTAAGAAATTAGTAGGACCCCATCAATATCTGTATTGAACTTGTCCAATACTCATAACTTCAATAAAAATGTATTTATACAAATCAATCAGCCCTTAACATACTCATGCATGGGTTGATCATCCAAATTTAATCCTTCAGTTGATACGTTTGAATCTAGCTACAATTTTACAAATGTCAAACTAAATCACTTTTATTTCCCCAAGGTAAGTTACTACACAGCTAAAAGGGAAAAGAATTAATAACCGGTAAATGATAAGAATGATAAAAAAAAAAAACAAAGGTAATGGTAGAGATGTAAACTAAATGGTATATGATCCACGATTGAACCTCTCAACAACTCGAGTTATTGGGATCAACTGGTTCTTGACATGGTATCAGAGCCTTTTGTGACCGTGATGTCTTTTATTCGATTCCCGGTGACCCGATCTGTTTCTGTTAAGCATATGACTTGAGTTTGAAAGGAGGTGTTAGGTAATAAGCGAACAGTTTGGAAAAAAAAATATCTCATTGAGCCAAACTTCTAGGGTTGTGAGAAATGGAACGGTATATAAAGTAATCAAATAATTAAATATGCATAATCTATCTAGCTAGGTCGCCCACGCCGCTTTCAGGTAATGTAGACAATGTCCGTCTTAATTGGCCGAGCTGGCCTGACAAAAACCTGTGTCCCGCAGAATGTGCAGACTTCATACCGTTGTTGTTAATTGATATAGTCCACGTGACAAATCTAATTAGGCAGAGTCTTTTATACATATACGTCTGGATAATTAATTAGTTAAACCCACCCACACAATTAACGTTTATATTGCGCAGTGCATGGGGACGGGCAACCTCCAATCCCGTTACGTGTTTTGTTCCTCCCTTTCTGCAATCTAAGCAACACGTCCCCGGTTAGTTCGTTCGTTACGTGTACAACGTACGTGCAGCATGAAAACATGCCCACCCAGCTACTTTGGTCGGCTCAGCTCTACTACTACCTAAATGGATTATCGAAATGAGGGTGTGGATTGTTTTACCTTCTGATTTTGATTTGATTTGATTTGTTGATCTGAGATTTTGTTCTGTGTTCTGTTGTTGGAAAATCAGATAAGGGGTTTGCCGGCCGGTCTGGTTTTAGAGATTGTAACAGCCAGCCAGCTAGCTAGAAAGCAGCAACCCACTAGTCTTGTCCCTGACACCAGAAAGTGTGTTCTTGGTCTCTACTGCTTTCCTTTCCTCCCTCTCTTTCTCCCTCCCGCAATAACTCTCTCTCTCTCTTTTCTCTCATCCCTTCAACCTACATCCATGTGTTGCTCCACAGTGTTTTCAATGCTCTCTGCTCTCCCTTTTCTTCTTGTATTACATAATGGACTTTCCTAATAACTGATAGGTTAATAAGGTTATACCAGTAGTGAGACAACATCATTTACCCAATAACTTTTTTTTTTATTAATTTATTGTTTTTATTTTGATACGGATATGATATGTACTTCATTCCTACATTGCATACAATGCCATTCCACAAAAACCAAAATTCAATAAGACTCAGTTACTTTTGGCCTTCACACTTGAATCTAGAAAACGGTGGATACATATCATCATTCACGCCGAGTATATTTGGCAACAAAATTGAAATAGATACACCAAAGCGGTAAATGCTCCAAATGCTACAACTTTGTGGAAGAAGGGTAAAAGGAAATAGCAATATGACTAGGAAGGAACATATATGATTATGGAAGCAGCCCCCTCCAAAGTCAAATCCCAACTGCAACAATTAAGATTCTAGCTAATTTCAACCTCCCCCGGTCTCTCATGCAATCTTGGAGAGAGCTCCTCCCACCCCTATTTCGGGATTTATGAATATTCCACCAACCAAAACCCGATGAAATTAATCAACAATTAATCATCATTAATTAACATTACAAACCTCCCCAACACATATCATCATCAACTAGTGTACAAACAAACTATCACCCTGGAAAAGAAAAAAAAGTAAGTCGCAAAAAAATTATTATATAAAGAAAAACCCAAAACAAAAAATTTTCCAAATCGTAAAAACCTTCCTGTGTAAACCGTAAAAGATGTCGTCGACTATCGGTTTCGAATTTCGAAATTCGAAACGAAAATAGAGACCAACCCTCCCAGCAGTATAAAACAGAAACCAGAAGATGAGTAATGAAAGTGGAAAGAAATATGAATAACAAATACTTTTTTTAAAAAAAATAAATAAGCGGTAAAACTGTAAAAAAAAAATTACTCCTGCCTTTTTTTCTTTTTCTCCAGTTGGATAGGATATTCATTCGGGGAGGACAAAAGTGGCGGGATCCTCGTTGTTAATCCAGCCGTACTTGGCCATGAATGGGTTGGCCAGCGAGTTTGGTGGGTAGCTTTGAATGCAATCGTCCCACACCGTCGCCCCGCAACCCGACCCGCTACCCGACTCCCTCATCACCTCCCACACGCAGCTGTTGCACTTGAAACCCGCCCCGAAGCTGATCATCAGGACCCGATCCCCTTTCTTCAGCCGCCGCTTCGCCTCCATGTAACCCAGCACATACCACAGGCTGCTCGCCGACGTGTTCCCCCACCTGTGCAGCGTCATCCTCGCCGGCTCCAGATCCTGCTCGCTCAGCTCCAGGCTCGCCCCGATCCCGTCGATCACCGCCTTCCCGCCCGTGTGGATGCAGAAGTGCTCCACCCCTGTTTTGAAATTGATCACCGGCGGCTTCCCCCTCTTCGCCCCAGATCCGGCCGCGAGGCCTTTCAATTTCCTCATCGAGTACACCGCCACGAACCGGACCAGCTCCGTGACCGGCAGGATTTTGGGGGAGATTTCCCTGAGATTGTCGACGAACGCTCGGGTCGCGGCTTTCGGCAGATTCTTCGCCAGGTGGAACCCGAGCCTCCCCTGTTCGTCCTCCTTCTGGATACAGCACCCGTACGACTCGTCCTTCCCGCCGTGGTGTGTGCGGACCAGGGTCTTGAGCTTGAAGATGCAGCGGTGCCTCAAGGAGCGCTTGTTGGTGAGCAGAATCGCGCACCCGCCCGATCGGAAGAGGCAATTGGCGAGAATCATGGATCTGTCGTTCCCGGCGTACCAATTGGGGCTGAGCGACTCGGAAGTGACGACGAGGGCGACCTTGTTTTTTTGCGCACGGAAGGTGTTCGACACAATGCCCACGGAGATCAAGCTGGCGCTGCAGCCCATGCCGGTGAGATTGAACGTCCTGACGTCGTCCCGCATCTTGTAGTGGTTGACGATGCGGGAGGTGAGGGAAGGGACGGCGGCGAGCATGGAGACGTTGACGACGAGGAGGTCGATTTGGTCGGGCTTGACGCCGGAGCGGGCGAGGAGCTTGCCGATGGTGTCGTGGAAGAAGTCGTCCATCTCGAGGAGTCCGTCGCGGAGGGTGGGGCTCTCCTCGCGGCCCTCGAAGACCATGCGCGGGGCGTAGGTCTCCTCGCCGATGCCGGAGGAGACCATGGCCTTGAGGAGGAACTTGTACTCGACGAGGCCGAGGTTCTTGTTGCGCTTGATGACGTCGCCGCAGAACTCGGTGTCGAGCTTGCGGTCGTCGGTGGGCTTGTGGCACTCGTAGTCGAGGATGTAGCAGTGGCGGTCGCGGTGGCCGTCGAGCCACTTCCAGAGGAGGAAGAGAGGGCAGGCGAGGAGGGAGGCGTAGAGGAACACCATTATGGCGTCCATATGGGTTGGTTGAGGAACGGAAGGAGAGAGGAATGTGGAGGGTGGTTTTTTGTTGCTGTACTGAGTAAGAGGAGGGATCATGAAAGCAGAAGGATGGGGTGGGGGGACACTTATAAGAAGAGAAGAGAGGTGGGGAAGAAGATGGGGCTTTGCTTTTTCACGTTTGGGGTTAATATTAAGGTCACTATTCATTCAGAAAAGTAAAGGGGAGGGTACGTAGACAACTAGACATTAGTGCCCGCTGGATCGTATAGTCTGGAAATGAAAGGGCAGTCAACTTTTTTAATTATTTTCCGATTATATATACTGGGGTTGGTTGTGGACTCAATATGTCCATAATTGTGACTTGTGAGGTTAACTCTTCGGGGTTGTATTGGTCAACGCCGGGGGAGTATTTATGTATCTAACACATACTTTAAGTCATACTTTAATTAGTAGTTAATCTATGACCGAAAATTTGGATACTGTCCAATTTAACTTGGTTTTCAGGATGAGAATTTTGCCAAATCTATAACCGAAAATTTGGATTGGGTTGACAAAAAGTTTCAACCATGACTGGATTGGATTGAAAGCGATCAGGTCCGGTTTGTGTAGGTTTGGCTCGACTCTGTCGAATTTTAGGGTTGTGTAGGCTTGGCTCTGTTTAGTGTTGTCTGATTTAAACCCAATCAAACCAGATTGGTTTTTCACTATATGCACATGACTAGAGAGTAGAGAGTGAGTTGGATAAGAACAATCTGGTTTCAGGTTTCAACTGGACCGAACTAAGCGGTGTGATTTTAGATTGAATAAAAAAATTGAAATTGAATTCCCAGCCCTACTAGTCATGACAAAGAAGAATATTACGAGGAACATTCTAACAGGTTGAGTTACTAGAAGGGGATGAATATGGTAAGATCCGCATATTATAAGTATAACAAAAGCGAGTGATTAATATACATGATAAAGCGAAACCTGCCCCACCAAAACCAGACTACTATAGTTTTTTTTTTTTTTTGTGAATAAGTGATATATTCATTCATTTCCAGCCTGTGAACAGGCAGATCTTACAACATTCATACAATTACATCATATCAGAGATCACATTGAGTATCGAAAGCCAATCAGGGTGAAGGTTATTCAATCTGCAATTCCAAGTGACCCAATCAACGTTATTTTTGTTGCGATGACTAGTGAAAAGAACATTAATCCATCATGAACGATGCAGAACGACTTTGATAGAAGAGAGTAAAGCATAGCAACGCCAAGGCCATTTTGCAGGATCTTCATTGGGCACATCCACCAGTATCTTGCTGTCAGAGAGGACCGTAGTAGGGATAGTATCATCCACTACCAAACGACACACTTCATAAATCAAACACGCCTCATAAATCGGGGAAGAACAAATAACCTTCCTCGCCCTCCTGTCACAAATCTGTCCAATAGAGTCGTAATAACAACTCTGATGGCCGCCTGTTGAGATTCGTAATCAAACGAACCATCACAGGGAATTCTCCTGTGATGCAGATTCGGCGGTAGACATGATTGAGATGGGATTATCCGGGGAAGAGAAGAGGTTGAAGGACTAGTTACATAGTGAGGCTCTGTCGCATATGTAAATGCACATGTGGAGGTCATCGTCGAGGACAAGACAACACCTCTGAAAAATGAATTCATTACGAGCATTCCAGACATTCCACAGGTAGAAGATCTTTTTCCGGATTGACTCAGGAGAGTCATTCTCTCTTAAAGCAAAGATCCACTGATAGAGAGTTTGTGGGGGATAAAATTGGGAACCACCTTTTCCCAAGTAGCAGCTGCGTGTGTGAGGACACTTAAACAAGCAGTGAATAGATGATTCCACTTCAGCATCACACAATTGGCATTTTGTGTTAGGCGAGCAGCGACGTCGATGCAAGTTGAGCTTTGTTGCCAAAGCATTCCTAACACACCGCCACATGAAGAAACGAATCTTAGGTGGGAGGTCGAGCAACCAAAGCCATTTCCAACAATCATCTGAGGAAGGAACATTGAGGTCTAGTGAATCCAGGCTTGATCGATTCAGTTCTTAGCTTTCAGTCGTATCCCGTGGTACGCAGTATGAACAGAGAAGGTGCCATCAGATATAAAATTCCCATGCCCATTTGTCGGGACTTCCTTCGTGACCGATATGAATCCTTGAAACAGCGGATGCCTCTTCAACCGTACAGTGATGATGTCAAAGGTTTAGGTTTCAACTTGTTCAATCTTCGTTCATCCACTCTCGAACTCTTGATGGCGCGTCAACAAAGGAAGAGATACGATGATGATAAAGAGAGTGGACCCAAGGGTCTCCATGAAACCATGTCTCTTTTCCCGATCCAATGATCCTAATTGTGCCAATCTCCAATGCAGACTTGGCGTCACACAAACTCGCCCAAATCCAGGAAGGAGAGCAACCTTTGCGTACAGATGAGAATGTCCCATTATGAAAATAAAGACCTTTGAGCACCCTTGCCCATAATGAAAGTTCCGAATTGGACATGTGAAAGTTCTAAAACCCAAGACCTCCTTTTGCTTTAGGATCCGTGAGCACTTCTCCTTTCCTCCATGGAATGGATTTCTTTTTCATAGATCCTGACCAAAAAAATCTATGCAAAAGAGAATCCATCTTCTTCGTGAGGAAGACAGGCAAAAGAAAGACACTCATAATGAAGGTTGGGATGGCTTGGATGACAACTTTGAAAGGAGTCTCATTTCCTCCATGAGATAGCGTGAGACTCTTCCATGAGCTAACCCTATTCTCCATTCTCTCAATGAGGAAGGAGAAAGTTTCCTTCCTCGACCTTCCTCAATCTGTTGGAACACCCAGATAACTATCGTATGAAATAGCCGATGGGAAATTCAGATGGGAGGTGATTATTTGTCTCAAGTCAGCCGAGGTGTTCTTAGTGAAGAACACTGGGAATTTTTCCAAGTTGACCTCTTGTCCTGTTAACGATTTGTACTCATTAATGATGCGCATAATTGCTTCAGGCTCCTCTCTTGATGCTTTGCCAAAAATCACGGTATCATCTACAAACAAACAATGGAAGAGGCGAGGACAATTAGGCTTCATTTTAAGATCATGAATAGAGTTACGAGATAAGCCCTTTTCAATCAAGATGGACAATGCATTAGACATAAGAATAAAGAGGAACAGAGAGAGAGGATCTCTGTGACGAATGACGCGTGAGGCGAGAAGAACTATGTTGGCCCGCCGTTGAGAAGAATCGAGAAGCGAACTGTTCGGATACACTCTCTCACCCATCCGCAACATGCCTCGTTGAATCCATATGCTTTGAGAAGTTCCTCGAGACAGTTTTAATCGACCAAGTCGTAGGCCTTCGACATATCCATTTTTAACATCATATCGAACCTACTGCCAAGTCGACGTTTCTTGAAGTGGTGAAGAACTTGATGCACAATAACAATGTTTTCCTGTATCAATCTACTTCTCGTGAAAGCCGCTTGCATCTCTGACACCAAGGTGGGCATAAACGATTTAATCCTAGTTGGCATGATCTTAGACACCAGACTACTATATTAGTCCAGTCTTTTTTCCTTATTTAGCTATTGATTTTTTTTTTCGTGTATTACCAAAGTGCCCATCGATGGTAGCAGACCTATATTAAGCAAAAAAAAAATTACTCGTATAATACTTGTATACGTACTAAATGCGTTAAAAATCTTGTTACATATTATTGTAGAGTCGTCTCCTTGTTCCTCTTTTATGCTTAGTAACATCGTAGTAACACATCCAATTCACGAATTTTAAGAAATTGAATTGATTATTTAATAATTTTAATATTTATATTTATTTTTAAATCTATAAATTTAGCATTTATTGTAACTTGTGCTATACTTTTAGACGTGCTGCCATGTTATAATGATGAATCAATTTTTTGTACGTATTAATTCCGTAATATACATATGTCATATTTTTAGTATCGCCTTGTAGTTAAAGAATGAAATAAAATAAAATAAAATAAAAGAATGAAACGATTAACCATTACACCACACTCATTTAGGTCTTCTTACTCAGGTATAGTTTTTTCCCTGAGAATTTGCTATATTATAGCTAATAACATAAGATAGTTTCCTCGCTAAACATAACGACATAAAATAGTCTCATACTCATACTAGAGAGAATCCAGACATTAGAAGGAAGTGGTTTCTCTGTTTTTATTTCTTTTGTTGGGTCTGGGTTGGACCATTAAAGTGTAAGGAAATAAAGATCATGGCAGACAGATTTGGGCCAACCTACTGGTCCAAATTCCGACCAATAGAAATTTTCTGGGTCAGGTCAGGGTCAATTCTTGGCCTCCAGAGAGGTATGAGTTGGACACATGTGAGAACGATTATGACAAAACTAAGGGTTCACCTTATTAACTTTTCCCGTGTACTGGCTTTGTGTCAATGTGTTAAAGAGGTTCAACTTCGTGTCATGGTTTTCGTAGTATGTAACGAATTCTTTTTGTTTCTCTATAAATTATTGACGTTTCTTCTCTCTTTGAATTTTGAAGAATCTAAAAAAATTATCGCTACAATTGACACACATATGTAGAAGAAAAGTATGGTCCTATATCCCACTGTACAATCTGATCGAATTCCTAATTTATGACAATATCCATCTGTTCTATTCGGTCTGTAAACTAGTATGGTATAGATTCAATAGATTATTTTAGATTCATTCGGATTACATATCCCATCAATTAAATTAAATTATAATAAAAAATATCCTTTCACTAACTTATATATACTATATAGTTTTCAAATACGATTTCATGATATACGGAATATGATAATCATATTCGTTACATTGTATAAGTTTTGACATACGATCGTAATCTCTCTCTTTCAAGTGTCAACTCCCAGCAAACGAGGGATCTTGATGCAACTTTCTTGCTTTGTTCGTAACAAGTCTTTATTACAAATTCAACTGCGTTTCACACCATCGGCATGCTCCAACACGATACAGATAATATGGTACTGGTGAACTTAGATGAATGAAAGCGCCACAGAATTCTCTGTCCAAGCAAGCTGTAGCATAGCGAGCTACCATCACCCTTTCATTTTTTTTGCTTTCTCTCTATTATTATCTGTCAACATGAAAAGTTTGTTCTGTCGTGAGAGGAGTTACACCACCTAATTCATGCATTGTGGAGTTTATTCATATTTTTGGTGATTATTCACCATTGAAGTGTTCATTTTTTTCCACTAATGATTTGTATTTGCCATATTTGATGAAGTCAAATTTTAAATTTTTCAAAAAAAAAAAAAAGAGAGTTGCATTCATCATAATTTACATGATGGCATTCATTTTGATATATTACATAAGTTAAAAATTAATTTTACAATAATGTAAATAAATAACAAATATCCAGTTTCGTGAATGACCATTACCAGGGGCGGACCCACGAGTGTTTAGGGGTGTCCGATTTTGGGAAAACGATTATCCAACCCCCGGTAGTAATTTACGTATTGACAAAAAAATTATAATTGATAGTCGGGGACACCCTAAAAGAGTGATTATCCTACTCTCATCTTTTAGTTTGAGTATGAGAATATAAGTCGTAGTTTGGGTAATTCAAACCTATGACACTTTTATTATTAATAGACATAATTTTCATTAGGCTACAACTCATATGTTATTCGATTTAAACACTGTGTAATAATATAATGGCATTCTCTATCTCTAATTATTTTCAAAATCTAACAATTAAACAAATTTCAAACTACCCTTAATTTGTATTAATTTATGGTTGTACAACAAGTATTGAAAGAGTCTTTTCAGCTTTGGATTACATCAAGAACAAGTTTAGAAATTGAATATGTGATCATTTCGTGAATGATTGTCTAATATGATATACAAAGACAATTTTTTTTGAATAGTGTAGACCCCAAGTGTGTTCTACAATCATTTTTTAATATGAAAACACATTGTGAATCTTTTCAAACTGTATGAGTAAAGTATTTCTTATTTAAATATTATTTATTTTTTATTAATTATTTTAGAATTATTTGTATTTAATTTATTTTTTAAAAGAGGACACCCCTATGTAAAATTTCTGGGTCCGTCACTGACTATTACCGTCTGGGTAACTAATAATCACCACTGTTGTCTGGATAAACACTGATATGATGAGAATAAACACAAAACTACTTGAATAAAGACAAAGCCGTTTTGTAGTTAACAACTTGCATTATTACACGTAGGAGACAGCACAGCATGCTTAGCTGGGCATTACGGCGGAACGGTTAGTGGGTTACTCTCCATATGGATATGGTTAGCCTCATTAATGAAAGGACTAATTAATTATTATACTATAATAACTATAAGTAGGTAGCAGATGGGAAGGGGGACGGAAGGTAGGCTATCCTCCTCAATGTGTCTCTAATTCTATATGGTCTAATATAGTTTATATATACACAATAATTATCTAAGCAGCAGAGCATGTGGCTTGAATGTGTTTTCGGCAATATTTATGCAACTTTTTGTAGAGTAATAATATCTATTAATTACTGGAGTATTCAATACTCTAAACATTTAGAGTGAAATATTTTTATCTAGTCATGAGTTAAATTGAGTTTGAGATATGATATGGTATTCTAATCTTTAATGGATAAAGTTTGTGTGTCAATTCTATAAATTCAAACCCGTAGATCCATTTAAGAAAAATAAAATTCGATGACTATGATTCGCCGAAGTACCTCAAATAGTCAGATCATTTGGAGTATGGTATACTTATGTTTTCAGGACGGGATCGAAGAATGAAGCGAAAAAGTTAGTGGTTTAGGGTTCAGTGGTATATAACATACAAGACTTCTATCTTACACTAATTTAAGAATGAAGTTATCATTGATCATAAACAATTTCAAATTCATACACGAAATCGGGTCGGTCATTAGTACGATATTGTCCGCTTTGGTCCAAGCCCGCATGGTTTTACTCTTGGGTGTCCTCCTCAAAAGGCCTCGTACTAATTGGGCTAGGTGGACACTAACATACAAAGATGTCTACCCTTGTATTTCCGATGTGGTACTTGGATTGTCCCATAGCACATATCATCACCAAAATATCTAATAAATATTGAAATCGTCTCACAAAATAAATCATAATTTTTTTAATTAATCAAGTTATAAACTACGGTGCCAATCAATAGTGGACCATGTAAAGTCGACAACAAGGTTGAAAAATGAGAGAGGAAGCAGATATAAAATAATAATTATAATTTGATGGACTTAGTTTACATTAAAGTATTTTTTTTAAAAAATTATGGTTAAAATAGTGAACTAGTGAACCAGCTAAACAGTGGTAGTTCATCTGATTTTACGTTGAACCGTGAAAAACTGCCTGGTCCATCAATAACCGTCCAAGAAATAAATAAGACCGTTATCATAATTGATTTGACGGTTCCACAAGCTCAACCATTAATCCAGTTCGATTCTTATAACAATACTATATACTCTAGAAGTACGCAAGTCATTAACATTAATTCTAACATATGCATATAAAGTAACTATATAATTATACGACAGTAAAATTTTTTAATTAATTTTCGGAAATATAAACTATTAATGGCAAAACTAAATTTGAGGGTTGCCAACTTTGTTATAATATAGATAAATAGCATGTTGAGTTGCATTTTATTGCATGGATGAAAATTAGCACCGTCGGAGAATTGTCAACATTGTGTTCAAGAGTCTAGGGCTTCAAAAACCATTGGCGTGACATTTAGGGGTCGTTTACTTCAAGGATTTGGTACATGGATTTGATATCAAAAAACCAATTATCAAGGATTTAGGTACAATCCGTTGTGTGCTTGAACCTTTTTTGGAGACCAAATCCGTGGGGCCCACGGATTTTAAGGGTCCAAACCCGTGGACCCCACGGACTTATAAATCCCACATGTTTATGTGGGATTTGGAATATGACATAAATCATTGATGACATTTTACCCATATACCCTCATGCACTTTTAATATTCCAAGGTTGCCCTCAAATTTAACTATTATATATTATAATTAACAATAAATGAATAATATAAACGTTCAATTAATGTGCAAACATGAGTTAGATTTTTTATATCATTTCTTGTGTTCTAGTTTTCTTTGACCTTTTCATGGAACGTGTAATTCTTTGTTCTCCCGATTCTAATATATGTTGTTATATGTTACTTTTGAAAAGGAGGACAAAGAATTGGTAATTGATTATGTTACGTTAAAAGTTAAAACGGAATTTTCTCGTTTATTATTATTGTCCATGTGGCAACATTATGCTTATTAGTATGTATTGTCCATGTTTTGTGTACATATCATAAACATGTCAAACATATAGAAAATGATAGTAAGGTAATTTTGAAGTTTTGTCCTTGTTTTGTGTACATATCATAAACATGTCAAACATATAGAAAAGGGCAGTAATGTAATTTTTGACTTCAAGTAGTAATTAACTGAAGAATTGTTACAAATCCATGATGCCTCAAATCCTTGGGTTTTTAAATTACAAAACCCTCGTTTATAAATCCATGAAGCAAACGACCCTTATTCTTTGGTCTATTTTTCAATCTAGCCGGTTTTAGAATTGGGCCGACAATCCGATTTGTTCGGTTGGAGTGATTAACTGTTTGAATCGTTTACTGATCGGCCTTCCAAACATGTATATTGTGGCTAGAAGCTTGATCCTGATCGGGTTAAGAAATGGTTATCGGCTGGATCGACCGGCCTGCCCCATTGTTATATTGTTTAGATATGTGCTTTGTGGCAATATTTATGCAGACATATCTATCACAAACTTTTAATGAATTTGTTACGGTGACTAACAAGTTACTTTGACTTGTTGTAAATAGTTTACCGCTTTCACCAATCGGTTGGCCTCTTTTATCAACTGGTCGATCGGATGAACCAATGCAAGAGAAATCAACATATTTTATTAGAGACATCAAATATTAATAGATATGATTGTTGGTAAGAGAGTTGAAGTTTGTACAAAGGTTGTAGCATAAATGAGACGTTTCTCGGGTCATTGTTCTTTCGTGGATTTGGTAAATGCTAGGAATATTTATTTCTTAAGTTGACTTACTCTATAGGGTTATAGGTATAATATGTCCCTCTACTATGTAGGTTTATCAAACATGGCTCTAGGCTATTTTTTATATCAAACATGCCCTTGTATTTTGGAAAAATGATCAAACATGCCCTTCTGTTAAAATTTCCATTAAAAAAATCGTCAACCATGGTTGAACCAAGATGTAGATGACCCGACATCGGCAAATGAGAGCGAAAATGTCAGTTTTGTTCCCCATTTTATTTTTCTAGGTCTCGTTAAAATGAAATTATTAGAGGTATTTGGCTCTATAAAAGAACCCAAAAAATTTTAAAGTGAAATTACCAAGGATATTTTAGACATTTGTGTCGCCCAAACCAAGGTACGACCATGATTGACTGTTTTTGGATGAAAATATTAACTGAAGGGCATGTTTGATCATTTTTCTAAAGTACAAGGGCATGTTTGATATAAAAAATAGTAGAGGGGCATGTTTAATAAAACGACATAGTAAAAGGACATAGTAAAGGGGCATATTATACCTATAACCCTACTCTATAAAGACTTTCATCTTTCTTTCACATTCTAATTAGTTTGCTTGTTTTTTTATCAGGTAGTTGTCTTCTGATGTAGCAACTTTGTTGCTATATTATTGTTATTTTGAAGAAACTTAAAAAGTAAGTATAGTTGTTATACAATTGTATCATCTTCAACATCCATAAATCTCCTATCATCTTACTTTTGTGAGTTCTTCTTCCAATAAGTTGATCGTGTAAGTTGAAGGAACTGTGCAATCCAATTGACCTTTCAAGTCACTATATATAAGCATACCATTTATGCTTTTAATTTTGGTTGTACAAAAATATAACCAACTATATAAATAAATATTCAATACCTGCAAGTGATTTAAGTCTTTCATTCGTGGAGGTAAGTCCATGTACACCTTCACTCTTTCCAATGCAAAAATATGATATTTTAACTAGTGATGAAGTCTCGACTCTTGTGGTTAGTTAGATATTATCGTTCATCCTTATCTAACCCACACTTATATGTAGTCACCCTATTAACAAAAGAGACTCGAATAATAAATAAATAAATAGAAAAAAGAAACATAAAAATAAATAGAAGCCCGACATTATGAAGAAAAATCAAATATAATAAAAGGAAAAAAAAACAAAGAAACGAAATTATGGGAGTGGACAAGACTAATTCCAAATAATTGTATCTAGGCATAAAAAAAATTATTGTACAAAACTTAAAGGGTGTCTTATGGCATCCTCAAAAGCCTTGGCTGGACCTATATATGGTGTTTACATGTCTCTATATTATCTCTAAGCCTATCTCCTTCCTCTTTAATGAATCCTGATCTGTCACATAATTGAAACAGTTACTGTTCCCTTTTATCAATTATTAGGGCAAACAAGTCAAACAGCTTTGAAATAATAATAACATATATGAATATTGCATTGGTTTTATTTGTTGAGAAATCAAAGGGTCGTATGGATGAGGAATTGTAATGGTTCAATTCAACATAATTGTCTCGTTTTGAGACAATTGTACCAAATTGCCTCGTTTGTCAGCAAAAAAATTTGATGGATCAATCTGCCTGAGGTATTTTGAATTGATATGTTTTGAGTCAATTTCAATTACGTGGGGTGGAGGCAGATAATTCGAATTGACTCGTTTTAATTGCCTCGTTTATAAAACGAGACAATTGACTTATTTCTAGATTGATCCATCCAAACGACACTTTGTTTACATATGCTACTTGCATTCCACGTACGACTTCAAATGGCAAATGCTTACCTCGCCATTACAACTCAACAGTTAGCAGATCACTCCGTCTGGTTAGCCTTATTTATGATCAGATTACGTAGCAGATGGAAATTAAGAAGCATATCAATTATCTAGCTAGACAGCGCCATAGTAGCAATTATCTAGACAGTGACTATGAAATCGATTTAAGTAGTGGTTTGAACTTTGAATGTCTTCTATGGGATTATTTCGTTATCACACTTATTTGTCTTTCTTAGACATTCAGTAAACGCCCGACCACGTTAGTAGCTCTAGTTGACTAACTGCATATATGATCAATTAGGTTGCCTTGCATAATAGTATATTCACTTTCGAAAGCTTACAAACAAGTCTTATTTGATATCATGGGAAATTTCAAACCACTGCATCATATTTGAAATTCACAAATAATATATTAATGACATTGCTATTTATCGCCTTAAGTTATCTTCTTCGTTGCTCTAAATTTTATTAAAATTACTTAAATATCCTTAGTTTAATTTTAGTCAATTTGAATGAACAACTGACAACTGTCCATAGATTAGTGCTGCGACGTTTGCTCCCAACACACACAACTATACATCATTACATCCCTCAATAACAAAATAAAATATAAAAAAATTAATGAATTACAAGTTACAACTACACCAAATGTAACCATTAAAAAATTATACAAATAAAAAAGAATTCCAAAAAAAAAATCAACATCTGCCAATTTCCTCCGCCGCTTCGCTGCCACCTTCCATGTCCCTGTGGGAGCGGTTATGGTGATTACTACTTTTGTTGTAATCACCGAGGTTAGTGGTTACTAAGGGTAAATTGGGTATGAAAAAATAAATTATATTAATTAATTTTTTAATAAATTACATTTTAGGTAGTTACAAAAATTAATTAATTACAATTATCTCTCTTTCTCTCACTTCCGTAATCTCCAGCCAGATCTCATTTCCATATTTTTTTCTCAATCTTTCTGCAAAGGAAAAAACACGAGATCACTACCAATCCATTAGACAACCACTACCACTTTGAAAAACATCAATACCATTGCAGAGATAAATCTATACCATTACACGAAAACTACCAATATAAAGAATCTATACCATTACAAAAGTCAAATAAATACCAAAACAACCAATACCACTATAACTGTGAAATCAAATCAATACCATTGCACAAATAAATTAATACCATTAAACTAAAACTACCAATACAATCAATACAACTACTATTGTGAATCAAAACAATACCATTGTAGAAATAAATCAATACCATTATGACAAACACACTGTACCATTTCATACAACAAAACAATGAACTAATACCAAAATAAAGTATACCATTTCATAAATTAATACCATTACTAAATTACCAGATGGTAATTTCACATCTATTCGTAGACAAATGGATAGAGAGATAGGGAGGGAAGGAGAGAGCAGCAGGAGAGAGAAAGAGCAGCGGGAGAGATGAGAGAGAGAGAGTAGCGGGAGAAATAAGAGAGAGAGAGAGATCAAAGAGAGAGAGAGAGAGAGAGCAGCGGGAGGCCGGGTACCTGATCGGAGGGGTGGGAGGCCGCTGCGGTGGCCGAGGGTGGCTGGCGGGATTTGTGCGACGGGAGTGGTGGAGGCGGCTACGGCTGTTTTGGCTAGAGGGAGGGTAGAACTATGGTTTGGGTAGATTATATATAATAATCAGGTGTGGTTATATTTTCATTTCCAAAATTACCCTAAAAGAATTTTGACCGTAAGATTAAAAAAGAAGAAAAAATAGTTAATCAAATGGTATATAAAGAGGTTGCCACCGTGATAACTAAAAAACAAGTAATCACCCTAACCTATTCCATGCCCCTGTGCAATTCTTTTTTTTTTTTTTGGTAGAGACATTGTGCAATTCTCGAACAAAGAAATCAACATATGCCAATTTTCTCCGCCGCTTCGCCGACCTTCATTTTCTTCGCCTTCTTCCTAGGAATAGTAATGCGGCAGGTCTGGGGTGGGTATCTTGATACCCTTACCCGCCCTGCGGCAGGTCGGGTATTTTATTATGGGGCACGGGTCGGGGCAGGTCGACCCAATGGGTATATAGTTTAGGTGAAAAGCATTAGAAATATTCGTTATTTTCATTAAAATACCAAGAAAGAAACCATAATATGATAAAATGTAGTTAAATTATTAGAAAATTTGAGGTTTTCACTAATTTAAAACTTTATTATAGCTAAAATATGAGGTAATAAGAGGAAAAGCGTAAGTAATTGGACTAAGATTGCATGTAATTAGGGAAGAACGGGTCGAGAATGGGGCGGGTCAAGGCATGTCGGGTCGATGAGAGGTACCCATGCTCCCCCCCCCCCCCCCCCGCCCCGCCTACGAGGCGGGTCAGACCCACCCCAAAACAAGCCAAATAGGTCGGGTAAAACAGGTCAGGTCGAAATTGTCATCCCTACTTCTTCCTCATACTTGGTATCGACTTTGACAGTATAAGCCGAGCATCGGTGACGGTAGGGTTTAGGTGGACAGCTGCCGGCGAAAAGAATCTGACAACGGCAGCAGCGACCGGAGGACAGAGGAGTTTGCCGGCGGCTGGCCAGGGTAATGGATTGTTTGTTTAGGGTTTTGTTAGAAATCGGGGTCAAAGGTTAAAAGTGTCAGTTTGACGCATTTTAGGGCGACAAAATTTGAATTTTAGGGCCACGAATAGCGATTGAGTATATTAAATATGTATTTGAAATTCGCTGCTTTGAAGTATTCGGGCAAATCCAAATACCATATATATGCATATCAATTTAATATCCAAATAAATCATTTAATATTATACATTCCAAATCTCTAATACGAGATGCCATATGGATTGGATCCATGGTTCAAAATCAAATGGATTGGTGGATTGAATCATGTATCCAAGTGTCATCCAGACATTTGACCACTATGCAAATTTTGAAAATTTTAGATACTAGTTACTAAATTATCATAATGAAAAATAATTACCAAAACATAAAATTTCAATGATATTTATAAAAAGTATTTGTGCTAAACTATAATTTTTCAAATATCTATGAATCCATCAATCCAATTGAATTTTGATCAAATAAATTGAATTAATAGAATATTTTAATGGATGGATTTAATTGGTTTGACAGATTGGATACAAAATCGCCACCTCTATCTAGTACCAACGGCAAATCCTCATAATTTAATCCATACAAAAGAAAAATAATTTATGATATATAGTGTATCTATCTATTGTTTTTGTTTATTTTGGTGGCAAACCTTATAAACTATCAGTAGTAGGGAAATGCTAGGATGCTAACACTTTTTTTTTGTTATAATGATACAAACACTAGTTCCGACCAATAGAAACATTTAGTTTGGATAACTTTTCCATTTTAAATGAGTGGACCACAATTAATGAGAGAAAAAAGAGAGGAGGGGCATGCTCGGTATTATGAAAAAATGGGGAAGGGGAGGGGGGACCAACCGTCTTTTTTGCATTAAATGTGAGGAATGGAGGGAGACCATCGAAATAGGCCAGAAACTCTTCAAAGTAGGTCGGAATCTCAAAGCAAGCCAAAACCTCTAAGTAGGCCATAACTTCCTCAAAATAGGCCATAATTACCTCCTCACAGTAGGTCAGAACCTCAAAGTAGGCCAGAAGTACTGGCGAATTCAAGTGGCTTTAGGGAACACGGTCATTCAACTCCCGATAGCAGTTTGTGCATAGGTAAACAAAATATTTAAGTGGTAGCAGGACACTACTAAAATTTGGAAAAAAAGATTATCTAATCCCTAGTAGTATTTCACGTATAGGTAAATAAAAACATTCAAGTGATAGCTTATGTGAGTTAAACTTAGGTCGGTGCTACTACTAGTAAACATATTTTTTCATTAGACTATAACTCATTTTTTCTTGTATTTTAAATCCAAATATAATAGTTAAAATCTATTTATTATCACAAATATTTTCAAAAGATAACGATTAGACCCAATTACGGGCTCCCCTTGTCTAGGGATGGAAAAAATATTCGTAGACGTGGATATCCGTCCAAAATCCGAGTTATTCGGGTAAGGTAAAATCCGAACCCGAAGGATGTTTAGTGGATATGTGTAAAACCCAAACTGAATATTGCGGGTAATGGGCAGGCATAGTTTTCTCGCTATCCAACCTGAACCAGCACAATTATACACATGCATAGGGATGGCAAAAATATCCGAAATGATGGATATCCGCCTGAACCCGGCCTAATCGAGTAGGGTAAAACCCGAACCCGAAGGACATTTAGTGGGTACGGGTAAAACCCGAACCCGAATATTGCGGGTAATGGGTGGGCATGGGTTTCTCAGTATCCAAACCGAACCCGCCCGATTATACACATACAGATGTATTTTGTCTAGAAATAGTTATTATTTTTCTCTAACATATTTTATATTTAGCATATATATATAATATTTTCATGAAATTGTGTTGTTTTAATTAATTTTCTTCATTCTAGTGAATTATTGTCATACTTTTTCTCTTGCGTAATGTGAGAATACGTGTGAATGTTACTATATTAGTTAGAGTTATGAAGAGAAATCATTACCCATGGATAATTGTGGATACTCGAAACCCGAACGGGTATGGGCATGGTTTTAATTTTCTACCCGTTTCATATGTGGGTATGAGTATGGGTAAAACCCGAACTACTTTGGGTAGGGTAACAGATATGCACTATCCGTCCCCGACCCGACCCATTGCCATCCCTACACATGCATATGTATTTTGTCTATAAATAATTATTATTTTTCTCTAACATGTTTTCTATTTAGCATACAAATATACTATTTTCATGAAACTATGTTATTTTAATTAATTTTCTTCAAACTACTGATTTATTGTCGTACTTTTTCTCTTATGTAGTAATGTGAGTATGCGTGTGAATGTTAACATATTGGTTAGAATTATAAAGATAAATTATTACCCATGGATAACTGTGGATTCCCAAAATAAGAACGGGTATGGATATGGTTTTGATTATCTACCCGATTTTTATGTGGGTATGGGTAAAACCCAAACTACTTTGGGTAGGATAATGGATATGCACTATCCAACCCCGACCTGGCCCATTGCCATCCCTACCCTTGTCTAGCAGAATATACTGAGAGAGATTTGTAGAGCATTGTTAGACACCGATTGTATTTTATAATTTTTCCAAAATACAAAACATGACATGTGCTTTTCTTATTTAATAATTAATTTAATTTTTTTAAGAAGTGGACACCCCTATATAAATTTTTTGGATTCGCCACTGGTAAGAAGTTTTTCAAGAAGGCCAGAAGTTTCTTAGCAGTGACCTGTTTGTAAATTTTAGAAAGTTTATGATTCAAATGTAAAAAAATTTATCTTAGGTACTAAATATTACTATTTATTAAGTTCATGTATCAAAACTGTAATTTGTAAATGAAATATAAAAAAGAAACGTAAATGGAAAGGGGAGGAGAAGGAGAAGGGATAGTTACTATAATATCCTTAGAGTAAGTGTTAGTATGATGCTGACACTTAACAGTGTTACTATCCACTCCCTTAGTAGTAAGTAGTATACTTCGTCATAATCTTCCAACAATTTTTTTTAATGATCAAAATCCCCATATGGGGACCTCTCATTAAGTAGTGTAAGAGCTCAATTTCGATAACTTAGTAATAATCTCGTAAACGAACGTGGACGAACGCCGGCCTAGCTAGTTGAGCGGCACACTTTTCTTGGAAAGATTGTGTGTTCGATTCTCAACGATGGCGTTTCCCACTTTTGCCCTTTAGTTCCTTTAGTAGCACCACCTTGTAATATGTTTAAATAAAAAGATCAGTTTGGTTACCATGCATCAAGAAGAGTTTGAGGTATAGGTAGGGTGTATAACTTTTCATTAAAAATTATGTTTAATAGATTTGATTTCTTAATTTTGAGTGATATAAAATATAAGAAGTGAGATTAAAATTGTTTTTTTAACCTTTTTAATCGGCTTGTTTTTTTATTTAACTCAGAATTTTAAATTTTTAAGCAAAGATGAAACAGATGTATTGTGATATACAAAATTATATTCATTTTTATATATTTTGAGATAAATTTTTGTATCATCCATTACCACCTTGATACTATCTAATATCACTTTGCATCACTTTGGTTTTTAACTCAAGTTTTCAACAATATTGCACAGAAGAAACAGGTTTGTCCTGATCTATTGTGAGCTATAAATTTATGGGAAAAATTCAGAAACAAACATACCACTCCAATAGATGGTGGTAAGTGGTGGTGAAAAATGGTAAATGGTGGTTAGTATATTCTTATTATCATGTGTACAAATATTCTACATGCACTATGGTAAATTCATACCCACATGGTATAATCTTATGTACTAAAAAAAACATTAAAACCTTACTGGTAATTTAAATATGTGATATGTATATATTCTTTTGTTCAAAATTTATGAAAGTGGATGTCATTTGAAGAGCATGATTAATCTGATTTATCTATAAAAAAAATTAAAATTTTGACTTAAAATAGAGAGTTATACACCGTTAAATTAAATTGTATAAAAGTTAGGCATGGTCAGTAATCAGCTTTGTTACTGACAAGATCCAATTGCAGAGTTTTGTAAGTACATGTTTTAATTATTATTTTTCTGAGTTTTATATTTTTAATTTATTACAAAATAGTTTGTGAAGAAATCTGTAACACCTTAGAAAAATTTCACATCAACAAAGCATATGAGAGATTCATGATTCATAAATAAGAAATCGATCTTAACTGGCAAGACGCATTTTGATATGAAATTGGAGAACTCTTGTAAGAACTCTGAAGTTAAACGTATTCACTTGGAGCAATGCAAGGATGAGTGACCTCTCAAGACACACCTTGATGTCCACCCCAAGGCAAAAATCATTTGGGTTTAGGGCCAAAGCTGATAATATATTGGTCATGATGAACAGTTTCAAGATGTTATAAGTGGTATCAAAGCCTCTCGGCGTCCTCTTGGAAAATGGTGATGCGGACCTCAATGAGAATGTCGGGGGAAAGCATAT